GGTAGACATTATCGATTCAATTATATGATTAGTTTCAGGAAATCACTTGTTCAACGATTAGTTTTCAGGAAATCACTCATTTAATCTAGGGTCTGACCCTTCAACAACTTCCAGAACCAAAGTCCAAAAATAACAAACTACCAAAGTTTAACTCTGATTCATCTTTAGGGTCTTACCCTTCAATTTATACTTAACTTCAACTGAAGTTATCAACAAATTGGAGTCGAACTCTAAGTTTTGTGTGGCGAGCAATGGTTTTGACAATTCCTTGCCATCAAGATCTTCTAACTTCAGGTGGGTTCTGTTTATCTTGGCAAGACTCACCTCGGGAGAGCTCTTCTCTTTTCAGTTGCACTCACCTATCAGGTAAGTTCTTCTTTGCAGCCTTCTTCGCATGTTCTTCAACATCAACATCATCATTACTTTTGTTCTTCATTCATTGGGAACTAGTTTGTTGTCGTGATAGGTTTTCTTCTGTATTATTTGTCGACTTTTTTCTCTTGTTCTTGCTGATCTTTTGGCATTTATCTTTTCTTCGTTTCTCATAGATGGTGCCAAATTGTATGGCATTCATCTTTTCTTCGTTCCTACAGACGACACTAAATTGTGTGTGTTAAAATTTGACTTTACCACACACGATCAATGTGATCTTCTTCTCTTAAAAATAAGAGAACAAAGTTGATCTTCTAGATGAATCCGCTAAAAATTTACGGGTACTCTGATGCTAAAGTCAGCAACTTTCTTTTTTTAGAGAATACCAATAGCATAAACACTGAAATATATAATCAATTACTAGAATATACATAATATTGTGTACCTTAACTCATGGAGGTGTGCTCCTTATATAGGAGTGCCTTGCCTCATTCTTGATTTTGTTTTCCATCTAGGACTCTACTTGCTAGTATTCTTTATCTAAAATTCATTCTCCTAATTGGGTTGGGTTTAATTTCCTCAAGAGTTCCATTCATACCCAATTTTGGAGTCACATCCCTATTGAGATTCTACTGAGTCATACCTTGAATGTGGTTTGACCAATTTCACAACCTCAACTAGTATTATTTTACCACATAACACCACAATTTGAAGTCGTACCACATAAACGAGATCTTGGACCCACGTGGTCCCACTAAAAAATACATCCTCACACTAGGTTTGCACAACTAATTTGAGGCTTGAATATATGATATGAGTTATTCTTTCTCTCTCATTAAAGTTCTTTTAGAAAAGTAAAAGTAATTATAATTATTTTTGTTTTGTTTTGTTTTTAAATTTTAATATTATCCATTACAATAATTTTTTAAAAAAATTTTGATTATAAAAATGCCACAATCATAAAGCAATTTGATGAGCACATACTGACTTCCTGGTTAGCTAGACAAAACAAAGTTAAACAGTGAATAATTCTAAAGTTACCCGTGATTAATTCTAAATTAAACAAATTAAATAATGTAGCGGGACAAAATAAAATATTTAATAAATTAAATAAATTAGTAACACAGCGGGATCAAATAAAAGATGTACATAAATATTTAAAGTGTACATTAGAGTTTTATTTATTTAATAAGAGTCAGACAATAATTACAAATAAAAACAAATGGTGTTTATTCCAAGTCCTGGTCATTCCTTATGGAGTAAAACTTCTTACGAATTTCCATCACCTGAAAGGTTTTAACAACTATAATCATATGATAGAGTGAAAAATATTATACTGAGAGTATAAAGTTATAAAAGTCACCATAAATAATTATTTAAGATAAACAATGAATATCTTGGTTCGAATAAATAAATTATTTTAAATAGCATACCTATAATGCAGAAATTCTATAAGCAAAATAATTATAACCACGATACAAAACAGAACAAAAAGTCAATGGATCCATGACAAAAGTCACTAAAGTAACTACTAGAGAGCCAAAAGTTATTTAAATTTCCAAGACATAAGAACTTCATGGTGGTACTTACAAATAATTACTCACATTATTGATTATCAAATTGTTCCTAAAACACATTTAATAAATAATTATATCCATTAAATTCCTTTTTTAAAGAGATAGAGTTCATTTAACAAAAATATATTTTAAAAACACTAATATAATTTATGAAACATAATTTATATAAAATAATAATTTATAATAAAACTAACATTAATATTAATATAATTTATGAAACATAATTTATATAAAATAATAATTTATAATAAAACTAACCTTAATATTAATATAATTTATGAAACATAATTTATATAAAATCATAATTTATAATAAAACTAACCTTAATATTAATTCCTATTTTACAGGTCCCTTTCCCCCGTTTCACAAACTCATCCTTTGCTTTTGTATATATTTTTTCCTTTGCCTTTGTTTGCAACTAGCCTCGCTATTTATACCGAGGCTGTTGCAATGAATTGATGACACGTTGCCTCCATCACCTATTTGACACCTCTCTTGATCTGGATCATCCCAAAAGTCTTATCCATTAACAGATAACTCTAGATCAAAAAAAATAAAAAATAAAGAATAATAAAAAAATAACAGATAACTCATGGCTCAATGTCAAATTGCATTTTAACTCATATGTTAAAATAATTAAATTATTATCCTTTTGGTAAAATACAATGACTCATGATTTTAAATTAAATTACATTTTAACACATACAACTATAAAATTAAATATTCTTTTTCTTTAATCATGATTAGTTGATATTAACGCAGTGTTAGAATTAATTAAATATTTGAGATATCATATAAAGATTGATTGAGTATAAGGTGCGTCAACAAGAGTATGAAGTTGACTCACATACGAGTTTTTTTCTTTATAAGAAGGAAAATTTTAGATATTTCAAAAGATTTATCAAATTTTTTATTAAATGTCTCACATGGACTCATGTGAGATATTTGGTAAAATTTTTGATAAATATGTAGATCTCTAACATTACTAGTATAAGAAGTGCCGACGAGAGTATAAAGTTAACCCACATATAGGTTTTTTTTTTTTTCTTTATGAGAATCTTGCCTATAATCTCTCATCTCATTCACTAAAAAATGGGAACATGGATAAATATAGGGAAAAATACAATTCAGTGTAGATTTTGAAAATAAATTACCCATTAGTAGTAAGCTTTATAAACATTAATAATTAAATTTCTAAATTTTTCATACATTCGTAATTTTTTTTTTTCTTTCAAAAACCCACTAAATTGTAGTTCTCCCAAAAATGTAACTTGATACATTGAATTAGCTATCGTCTAAAGATATGAATCAATCCAAAGGAGGTACACAAGAGACAAGCATATTATTTCTACCTCGTGTCAAGTCTCAACTTCTTTAGCTTTGATGCTCAGTGCACTTTCCTACTTTATTGATGTATTTTTGCATGTATATTGCTTTTTTCTATCAATAAAAGCTTCTTTTTTTTTTGCCCATAATAATAAAAAAAATAAAAAAAAAAAGATTTGAGATTCATCACTTGGAGCCATTTGTAGGAATTGACGATGGCTTCCTTTTACATCTGTGTAGTAGTAGCGAGATTAATGATGATCGAATAAGAAATTGTTGAACCAGCATGCTGCTAAACTTCAAATTTACAAGCATACTGTGGTACATGTGTTGGAACAGTATATAGCTATGTTACATGGATTCTTTTACTTATAAGGGTAGTCTTGTTCACCGGATATAACATTGGTAAGTATGTGAGATATGTGTTTGACACATTTACTCAATTTAGACATTTGAACTGTTTTTATATATATGATGTTTGAAGAAAAGATGCACACTTTTATTAGTAACGAAACCTTCATAGCTTCTGATACAAATGAATGATATAGATTCCACATTTTCCTTAAATCCAATTTTATTTAAATTAAATTTCTAAAATTTGCCAAGGCCCTTGTGGCCTAGTGACATGTAGCGGCATCTTAGGATATGGTGAGTGGAAGGTTTGGAGTTTGAGCTGATGGACCATTGGTGGTCTCTTTAAGTTATATATAATTTAATTTTACTATAGCATTCTGTCTTTGATAAAAAAAAAAATTATAACATTTATCTTAAAATATTATATAATACACAATACATAAAGTCATTTCTCCGTACCTATACCTAACTTTTAGATGCATTTTCTAATATTTTGATTTAGAACGATTTAATACTTGGATAGGTACTTGTACCTGATACTTATATTTGTGTCCAAGTAACATAGGCACATAGCAGTAACACTTTAATTAGCGTAAAGTTAGCAAACTTCCAAAATTAGGAAAAGTAAATTATGAATGAAGTAAATTATGAATGATTAACTGCTCCAGATCTTCTTTTTGAGGTAAATGTGAGGTAGTCGTTGGGTTAAGTGGTACTTCCAGTATCAAATCGTATCATTTCTCCTCTCTTTTTTTTCTTTTTTTTTAATTTTTTTTTATCTAATCTTTTCACTGTTTTTCTTATCCTTTTGTTGACAAAATTGCAAAGCAGGTGAAGTTGCTAATTGTTGATTATTGCAATGCATTTGATTATAGAAATGTTTAAAAATAACATTTTACAAATTTTAGTTGAATTATCTGTGTATGTATATGTATATATTCATATATAATTATTTAATTGCGACCTCTGCAATGCATAAGAATAATTTAAACCTTATTTGTGTTATAATAAAATATAAATCAAACCAAATCAAGTCAAGCCTTAAGTCCCATCAAATGAGATCAATTATATGAATCTTTCTTCTCCATTCAATTCTATCCAAGGTCATATCATTAGTTAAATTAAGTAAATTTATATTTCTATTTAAAAAATATAATTTAAATAAATATATGTGATAATTTTAGTTAATAAAAAAGCAATAATGCATAGTATTTCTCCTTTTCATCCCAAAATCCATTACAAACTAACGGGAAGAAATGATGGCCACGAGTCTTGAATAGAAAGTTGTCATGTGGGCAAGAGAAGACAGAAAACATAGAGGTTGGGCTGTTGTCCTTGTTTTTTTTTTTTTTTTTTCCCCTTCTTCTCTAAAAGGTTGGACTTGTGAGATTAGAAAATTTGAATCTGGTGCGCTCCAATGTTCAAATGTTATTCATAGTCCTCGTGATCCATCAAACGGTCACAAATTTACATGTGAAAGAATTTAAAGACCCAGGAGCAAATTCTTTTTTTCTCTTTCATTTTCATACTAGTTAAAAACCCAAGAATGGTCCTATAAATAAGGGGAAGACACAGCTCAGACATTCAGACCATATCATTGTTTCTCTCTCTCTCTCTCTCTCTCTCTCTCTCTCTCTCTCTCATTAGTCTTTCTTTGATTTTTCTGTTATCTTTATTCCATCATTATACCTTCTTCTCTACGGGAACGAATCGGAATAAACCCCTATATTTATTTATGTGTCCTTTTGAGACTTTCCTCATTTCTGTATGTACGAAAATAAGCATATAGAGTATTTCTTTATTCCACTCGAGACTCAAAGAGAGTTGTCTTTCTCAGATCCCAACTTCATTGAAAAATTCTGGTATATTTCCAAGCTATCTCTCCAATCAGATCGAAACCCAGTTCCCAAAATGCAGATTGTGAGATGGGTTTTCAAGCTTGTTCTCATTCTTTCACTCTATAATCTGTCAATCTCAGAAGCCATAGCCCAAACAGCCTCACAGCAGGAGCAGGATCAGGAGCAGGCACCAGCTGCAGCTTGCTCAGAAGCAGATAGAGTTTCTCTTTTAGGTTTCAAAGCAAGAATCTTGAAAGACACTACTGATATTCTTTCTTCATGGACAGGTAGGGACTGCTGTGGAGGAGGTTGGGAGGGAGTTCAATGCAACCCAGCCACGGGAAGGGTTACTGGGTTGACGTTGCAGAGGCCCGCCTCTTCTGATAAGTACAGTGCCCTTTACATGAAGGGCACCCTGTCCCCTTCTCTGGGCAGTTTACAATTCTTGGAGGTGATGGTGATCAGCGGGATGAAACACATTGCTGGAACAATCCCTCAATCCTTTTCAAATCTAACCGGTCTCACGCTACTTGTCATGGAAGACAATTCACTTCAAGGGGACATTCCTTCAAGTTTAGGGCACTTGCCCTTACTCAGGATCCTCTCGCTCAGTGGAAACAGATTGATTGGCCAGATTCCTCCTAGTTTGGGGAATTTGAGGAATCTGATCCAGCTGAATTTAGCTAGAAACTCCCTTACAGGTCCTATCCCACCCTCCTCCAAAAATTTCCTTAGTTTGCAGTCCCTTGATCTCAGCTACAATTTACTGTCTGGATTGATTCCAGCTTTTATAGGACAGTATCGAAACCTGTCATTTTTGGACCTCTCCAATAACCAACTATCAGGCCAGATACCCAATTTGTTGTGCGAATTGGCCAATCTATTGGACTTGTCCTTGAGCCATAACCAGCTCACTGGAACAATCCCTGACCAGATTGGGAATGTAAAATCTCTGACCACTCTTTCTCTGAGTTTTAACAAACTGAGTGGTCAGATTCCAGAATCCATTTCAAGGTTACAGAACCTTTGGTACCTGAATTTATCTAGCAATTGGCTTTCGAATCCTCTGCCCACAACCCTTTCCAAAGGCATCCCTTCTCTATTGTCAATTGACCTGTCTTACAACAGTCTTAACCTAGGGACAATTCCCGAATGGATCAGAAGCAGACAACTCTCTGATGTTCATCTAGCCGGCTGTAATCTGAAAGGAACCCTCCCAAACTTCACAAAACCCGATTCCTTGATCTCTGTAGACCTTTCTGATAACTATTTCACTGATGGGATTTCGAATTTCTTCGTGAAGATGTCTAGCTTGCAGAAGGTCAAGCTTTCAAACAACCAATTGAAATCTGATCTTTCAGGAATCGCAATATTGCCAGATGGGCTTTCATCCCTTGACCTTCGCTCCAATCAGCTTTCTGGGTCACTCTCTGGGGTCTTAAACAACAAAACCAGCAGCTTTTTGGAGGCTATAGATGTATCCAGCAATCAAATTTCAGGCAGCATTCCTGAATTCAATGGAGGCCTGAGCTTGAAAATTTTCAACATAGGAAGCAACAAGATCACGGGGCACATCCCAAGTTCAATCTCAAACCAGATCCAACTAGAGAGGTTTGATATCTCGAGGAACCAAATAACGGGCACAATTCCTACAAGTTTAGGGTTATTGGTGAAAATGCAATGGCTAGACTTGTCCATCAATGGCCTTACTGGAAGAATCCCAGAGAGCTTGCTGGGGATAGAAAATTTAAGACATGCAAACTTCAGGGCAAACAGATTATGTGGAGAGATTCCACAAGGGAGGCCGTATAATATCTTCCCTGTCGCTGCATATGCACACAATATGTGCTTATGTGGCAAACCACTTCCACCATGCAAGCGGAATACGGAAGGTATTACGGGCCAGTAAAATGCTGACTCAATTGACAAAAGGGGTACATGGTCGTGGTGCAATATCAAATGCAAGAGGAAGGAGATAGATTATGGTTGTTTCTGCAACAGCTAAAATACATTTTGCTTTTCTTCATTCTATTTTATTTGGTACCAGTCTCTATTCACTCTTATTATTTGTTAACTTCCAATTATTAAAGAATATATATATATATATATATATAATTGCGTGTTTCCACTTGAATAACCTTTCCATTTGAAGGTGAAAAAGTAAAGGTTCTGGTGAATTTGCTGTAATAACTGTGAACCGGAACCATTACTCGGAGGAATCATGCAATTTACCTATAAATCCAATCTATAATGGTATGTCCCTGCTTTTAACTCCTATAGATACAAAATCATACAAATTTCACTTTCCATGAGAAGTCCCAACTTGCCCAAGCGCTGCTAATTAAGGTGGATGGTATTTAGCTGATTGGATATATAGATAACATCTTAGTATATGAAAGAATAGAGACTGAAATTGCCAATGAATTAGGAAGCAAACTTTCAGGCAAAACTAAGAATTGAATTTAATTACTCACTTGCAATATTGAATAACCCAAAGTTACAAAGAGTGAAATTTAAAGGACAATGTGTTTCTTAGTAAATTCTACACATTCATAATATTATTTAGGCAGAATAAACTTGATTCACATTTAGAGCATCTCCAATGGTTTGCCATTGGAGATGCCAAAGCCATTTTATATCAGGTGTGGGCCAAAAATGTTCTCTAATGATAAGTTTTGACAGATGCTATCTTTGGCAAATGCCAAAATTTGTGTCAAATATGGCACAAGCTTGCCAAAGCTGCCAAGTCACCAAAACCAACCATTTTCTCCCTCTCTCCCTCCATTTCTCATCCTTCCCAACAAAATAGAGATTGGGTGAAACTGCCATTTTTCTTGAAATTTTTGTAAAACCTTCACCAATTTTTTTTTTTTTCTAAAACAAAATTTTTTTATATCATATTTAAAAAATATAATAATAATTTGTCAAATGCCAATTTGGTGGAAAAGTTAGTTGAGATTTGCCAAAATAATATGTGACCATTGGAGCACCATTGCTATAATTTGACAAAATAATACTATTCATTATCAAATTATAGCAATAACAATGTTATTTTAACAAACACCATTGGAGATAACCTTACAAGAGTCAAAGGCCAGCCTTTGAGTATAACTCTTCAGAACATTTAAAACTTGATTCACATTTTCCATTTGCAAAAGAAATTGTGTATTTACTTATCCTTATTTAAAACGATATTCAAAATTTAGAGTTAAATGTATCACAGTTGAAAGGTCATGAGCCAAATTGACACAAATTTTAAGTTATAGGGACCGTTGGTGTAATTCGTCTAAAAAAAAATAACAATAATTTAAGAGATAAAAATGCAATTAATACTAATTTACATTAACAAACAAACTTCAAACAACTCCCTTTTGGAGCAACTTTTATGAATTATAGAGCTTCTAAATATTTTGAAACTACCCTGTTCTTTCCGATGTATTCAAAAATAAAAAATAAAAAAAAATCCTACGCGTGTTCTTTATATGTAAAATATTTTATATGTAAAATATTGACTTTTTTATATTTATTTTAAAGTATGTTTATATAATATATATATATATATAATTAAAATTTAAATTGCAATTTTAATCTGATACGCAAATATAAATTTATAATTTTTTTGACTCATTAATACTTGTAAACATGTTTGAACTCAAATCAAGTGTAAACAACTTGACTTGAGTTCGGTTTGTTAAATTTTTATTAAGTTCGAGCTTGAACTCAAGTTCGAACTTGTTAAAATATTAATAAATAAGCTCAAATATATTAAAACTTAGCTCGTTTGCAACCTTACGCATAAGATCACCCACTAGCCCTAAATGAGTCTCCTCTCTCATGGTTGGTAAGTGGGAAATATGAGTGTAGTGAGTATTGGATATAATAATAATAATAATAAAAAAAAAAGAAAAGAAAAGAGCCTTGTCCTAATTATTCTAAGGAAATATCTTAAAATCAAAGGTTGCGTTTGGTAGAAGTTTGTAAATATGATTTGAGAGTATGAGTTGTATGTTGAGTTTGTGAGTTATAGAATTATGATTTGAGTGTAAAAAATTAGTTTGGTTATGGTTTTTGAATAGAGTGCTGAATTGAATTTTGAATTGAGTGTGGAATTGAATTTTGAAAGTTTGATTTGACATGTGAAGTAAGAAAATTTGTTTGGTTATGAGTTTTGAAAAAAAAATTCAAAATTTAATTCAAATTATTGTAACTCATGACAAAACACACTACTTTCACACGTTTAAAAATTCTGATCAATACTCATAACCAAACTCTTTTTAAAATTCAATAAAAAAAATAACATTAATCAATTTTTTAATTGAAATACTACAAAGGCAATAATTTTTTTTCAAAATAAATATTCAAAAAATTTAAATCATAAATATTTAAATAATTTAAATAATCTAAAAAATTTAATAAGTAAAAAATTAAAATAAATATTCAAAAAATTTAAATCGTAAAAATTTAAATAATGTAAAATGTTAATATTTTAAATTTTAAAATAACTCTATACTCAAATCGTAACTAAACACATAAAACAAAACTCAATTAAGAAATTATTTTTAAAACTCATAACCAAACACATAACTCGAAACTCCATACTAGTTTCACAACTCTGAAAACTTTACACTCAAATCGTAACCAAATACATAACAAAAAAATTAAAATATTTAAAAATATTTTTATAAAATAGAGTTTGTAAAACATTTTAAAATTAAAAAAATTAAAATCGTAATATTTTGAAATTAAAATATTCAAAAAATTAAAAAATTAAAAAAATCGTAGCATATTTAAATATTAAAATATTTAAAATCTTAACAAAATTAAAATATTTTTAAAATATTTAAATATTTAAAATATTAAAAAAATTAAAATATTGATTTGAATTGAGTTTTAAAAAGAGTTTTGAATTATGTGTTTGGTTATGAGATTTGAAAAGTAATGATTATGTTTTGAATTGAGTTTTGAGAAATAGGTATAAAATTATGATTTGAAAACTCCAAACAAACAACATACTCAAATCAATGGGTGGAACTATATTTTGAAATACTTACCAAACGGAGCCAAAAATATTAGTTGACGTTAAAAAGTGGTCTGGTACCAGGTGCCTCGTAAACAACCATTGAAGAGGAGGTCAAAATAATAATAATAATAATAAAAATCGTAGAAGATACAATTTCAAACAAATACAATATATGAACCATTCATCCACTCACTAAATCACTAAAAAGACAACTCTGAGATCATCCTCTTTAATCATTTGTCTACCACCTTATATAGTAAGCCATTACAAGTATTACGGTAACAGGGGAAAGTATCTGCCTAGCTCAGGCCTCTGTAATTTAAAATCAGAATCATCTCTCTCTATCTACGAAGATCTATCATCCCCCAAGATTATTGAGTTCCATGTAGGACTCTTCAATCAACAGTTTGGATTCATTGAAGTGCAATTACGACAATCAGCCAAGTCATATTTTAAAAATGATGCAAAATCAAGGAAGCGTGAGTCAGGGGCCATCTGGTTGATGGGTTATATCAAATATGAACAGCACAACACACTTCCACTCCTACACAAAAACTAAATTATTTTTGCCCCAAAAAGTCATAATAAAGCACTGCCAAGAAGATTAGGACATCTGTTAAAATGAGGCCCGCCACGTCAAAAACAAATTTAGGAGCAAATAACCCCCACACCTGCAGTGAAATTCAGCAGTATGCCAACTGTTAAGATATGCTAAATATGCACAAATCAATAAAAATATATGAAGGCTTTGTGGTCTAAGGATATACCATCAGGTGCCGTCTTTGAATTGTGACACACAATATTGTGAATGTGATTGAAATTGCTGTAATGAATCCATACATCAAATACACCTGAAACATAGAAGAAGATGAATAACCACGAGACCCCATCCAAGGAGAATTACAGCCATACACATCCAGGAGGATAAACTTACTTGAGATAATTGCATGAAAAAGAATCTTTTTCTCTGCTGCTCACCCTGACCAAATGGAAGTTGACGTGCAACAAGAAATGGAAGTCCAAATATTGGAAGAATGTGAGAAAAACCAAATGTATCAATACTAAGAAGAATAGCTTGTGGAACAAGGATGAATTCTTCAAACCTGAAAACGAAGATGAGAGCCACAATCAATCAACCAGGAGGGTTGATGGACAACTCTCCCATGTTGAAAGTAATAACAGGGAAATCATTTCATCACTCGGAAAGTGTGACCAAGTCCCTTTAAAGTGGAGTAAAAATAAACGAGAATATATAATTTTACTAATAAAAGAGAATATACATATAAAGGATTAAAAAGAGCACACACTAACCCAATAAATGCAGCAGCGTAATGGAGGCCATCAAAAGCACACCTGAACAAAATGTTGCAGTGTTTAAGAAATACAGGGTGCACGGAAGAAAAAGGAGTTACTTCCAGTGTGAGAATGAAACTAATCAATGAACTGATAATTGTTTGCAAACAAGACTAAACGATTGCAGCACCATGAGTTTGGGACCAAAATGAATGACACAACACTTGACCAACTCTTCAGAGCACAAGATATGACTACCAATAGCACAATCAGCAGACATACAAAAGTTAAGAGCAAACTTTTACCAGTGGCCAGTGCAGAAAAAAAGGCACACAGCTATAAGACTCCATTGTGTAACAGGGGAAGAATACAAGGACAATGTTCCAGGAGTGCCATTTTTGCAATCCTGTTCAAAACTCTTCAACCTCATTATGCACCAACCTAGCAAAGAAGTTCTTGTAAGCACCAACTCAGGAGTAGAAACTTACAATGCTTAAAAAATTTAAAAACTAGCACAACTTTATCTCGTGAAAGAATTCTATAGGTAAATTTGGAATTTATATCCAAATATATAAGGCGTGTTTGAGTGGCTTACAGAAGCGGGAACGCAAAACTACAAAGAAATGAGGGTATGGCTTAAAGAATCATAAACAGACAAACCATAGCTCAAAGTGCAATACTACCAGATAAAAGGTGCAATGAAGAAATGTACCTCCAATTATGGATGCTAAAGCAACCAAGGGACCTTGTCTTCCAGATAGAATGATAACTGTTGAACTCCATGCAGACAGCATGGCCACCATTTTAAAAACTATGTTTTCTTCCCAATTTGGAGTTTTTTCTTCAGTAAGAAATCGAAGAAGTGCTAGGGATGACAGTTGTGCACAACCAATAATATAGATTATTTGAGGAATGAAATTTCTTCGTATGCCTTTTGGCAGAGGCAAATTTAGTAGTTTACTTTCTGAGGCCCAATATGCAGCAATGAGCAGATAACTTAATATGGTTCCTATTATAACATACTTAATAATTCTCTTACACGAGCGGTGAGCAATGCTCTTAAGCAGCATGAATGCTAAGACGACAAGAGCTAGCACTGGCACGAGTTCAGCTATCCATGAAGGGCATATATCCAGTAATACTGAACTGACAGCCTGCTTTGATAGCCCAAGTTCAATAGTAAATCTGAGAATGGAGATAAACAGAACAAACACAACTGCCTGCAAAATGATCACCAAAAATTAGCCCACAAGCAAAATTCCTATAGTAATATTCTACTAGTTTACAATCACAAAAAAGAAGATAATGTAAATCATAAATTTACAAGCCATAATACAACACCGGTATGACTTATTGACAAAAGTAAATGACACCCAGAGTAAAAATTCCTACTTCCACTAGCATCTTCCCTTTCATTATTGAATAACGTAAGTTGAGCATCCCAGTTGCGGCAGCAAGAAAACTTGCGACTTTTCCTTCTTCCACTGATCTCATGGAATTTAAATTAAAACAAAACAACAAAAACTATGTTAATAATGAAAGAATGCATTGAAGAAGCAATAAAAATACCTGTAGAGATAGAACTTACAAATATAACTATTTGAAAGGAAGCTGCATGCACGTATTACCACCACCAAACAAGAAAAAGTCAATCCAAAGGAAATCCCAGACTCGGCATGGGAAAGAAAATGAACTCCACATAGTTTGTCCAGTCTTCGGATGGCGAGCAAATGGACAAGCAATGAAGTCAATATCACACCAAAACCAATTCCCATCATCTTCAAATTAAACTCGGTCCATTTTGAGCGTGCTAGCTCAGCAACACTTGCCAAGAAACTAAAATATGCATCGGTTTGCCTCCTGAGATCAGGTAAGGATGTATGACAGCTTTCATTTTTATGTAGCAGTAAGTTGATCATTGTATTTGACCAATTCTCCATTGCTTGAGAATACATTGCTGATAAATGCAACAAATCTTCATTTGAAAACCCGATGACAGATGAAGCTGAATATACATCAATGTATCTCTTCACCTACATAAGATAAACATATGCAGCCAGCTAAAACTCAGTAGAATCAACTGTCTCAACATGCATGATGTTATTGATCGGTTAATAGTCAATCAAGAATTGAAAGTATTTCCATGCCTTGTTGTAAAGACCAAAGTCAACACAAACACTACTATCAAAATACATGGAGTGACCATTGCCTTCAAAATTAATGCAAAGGAACCAAGCAGGCTTGGACAAGCATACCTATCTCACATGGATCTGGATATGTATGTATGGGTTCGTTAACATGTATAGACATTAGACCTTCCAAAACCCTAAACCTAGGGACACAAGGATATTTGTAAAAAAGTTGGGTATTAAATTAGGAAATGCTCCACATACATAACATTCTATTATTCTCCAAGAAATATGGAAACAGACTCAAGACATGAAGACAACAATTGCCACAAGCGTTGGCTGCATCTTTTGTGCCGACATTCTAGTCTCAAAGTTTTCTCAAGTTCTTTTCTTTTCATTTGGCATTCTCAAGCTAGAGCAAGGTTCTGGAGTTCAAATTTTGGTTTGATTCAAGTCTGAGGGCATTCAAAGCAGCTCGGCTTCGATCCTTTGCCTTGTCCAGGTTAGTTTCTTTTCATTTTTTGTTTTCATTTTCGTTCATACTTAAATTAGGGTTTAAGCATGCTTAGATTTATTTTTATTCATGTTCAGGGATTACAATATGTTAGATCAAGGGTTTTTATTGCTTTCTTAGTTTCACATGTTCTTCACCATGTTTAGGCTTCAGGGTTGTCATTTGCTTTATTTAATTCATGCTTATTGTTTTCATTCCTCACATGGTTACTTTTCGTGCAAGAATATTGCATAGGTTTGCATCTGGGTAGAATTTTTTTGCCTTTCAGTAATTTCTTATTGTTTTCTTTATTGATTTTTTATCTCTTTAATGGCATGAAGTTTATAAAAACTGTTGGAGATGGGTATTTTACATATATATATATATATATATATCTTCGGGAGTCTTTTGTAATTAATTTAATGAATTTTGGAGATACATTATTTCGAATCCCCATTTTTGTTGTTTTCTGTATAAATTTAGTGTCTGATTTTTATCACTTAGACCATTTGGAGTTTGGATCTGAAACTTGGTGAACATGTTAGTTGCATATAGGGAGAGCATCACATAAAAATTTCATAATTTTTTAAGTCGTTTGATATATCTGCTTTGCTTTCAAAGTTTCTTATTACATCATCATCGCATGTTGGCAAACCATCTGCAAAATGAAGTTGAGCAATTTTAGGTCCTCCCCTAGCAGGTTGGATAGGCCAAAAATCCTTTCTCCCAACTTTCTCCTGCCACCCGAAGCGATGTAATTTAGTTTTGATTTTGTTTAGTTTGGCAACATAGGAAGATTTACAAAGAGAAGTCAACTAGTTTATTTTGTTTCTCATTTTCTCTGTGGATTGTGGACTTTAGATACTTAGTTTGCTTTGATTGGTTTTGTTATTATGTGGTGGATGTACGTGTTAGTCCTACGGTTTTATTTTTATGATGTCTATGATGCATTTGGTTAGTTGTGCTTCAATATTATATATGCTTAACAATATTTGACACAAAATTAATATGTTGCATATAACAAACATGCGCTTTGAAATATTAATATGCTTTAATTTTAGCATATTTTTAAAACTTATATTTTGATATAATTTGTTGTTGGAAGGATATGCTCATTGTAACAGGTAACCAAATCCTTACTAAGTATGAGTGTTGACACCACAAAAGAGAAGTGCTGACACCTTAATTCAGTAGCTTCGAGAAAATCAAAGATGTGCAAGTGTTGACACTATCAACCCAAGTGACGGCACCTGATAAAGAAGATAAGAAGCGAGTGTCAACACCTTCAGACATAGTGTCGACACCTCTAATTCAAAAATTCAAATTTCTGAACGCAATCTGACATGTTTCAAACTGTTCTAATTACCACCAACCTCCAACGGTCAAATGAAGTTCAAGAGCTATAAATACTCATCTCCAACATCAAATGACATAGTGGGTGTTTGGGAAGTGGGTTTTTATGTAGGTTTTTTTAGTTGTAGGATTTTATTGGAGAAAAAAAATTTGTTGTTTGGGAAGATAGTTGAGTTTTTTTGTGGTTAGATGTGATGTTTATGAGAGAAAAAGTGAAATGCTTATGGGGTTGGATGTGATATTTTGTTTGGATATGGTTTTTTGATTTTGCAGAAAGTTTGTCTTTTAGTGGAAAAAATCAAAAAAAACCCAACACACAAACTTCCCAAACACCACCATAAAGAAGGGGTGACCTAAAGAGGAGAAGAAGAATAAATTTATTTGTGCTCTTGTTCTTCATTGTTCCAAATCTATTCTTGAGAAGTTGGTGCTCAGATTTGTACTCACATTATTATTCAAATCATTTGTAAAAGGGTGGTTCTACCATTGGGCTTTATTGTTGAGTGTTTTGTCAGAAAAAACTTGTGAGATTTGTAATACCAAAACAACGGCTGTTTTTGTTGTTTATTTTTGAGAGTTTTTGGAACAAAATCCTTGTTGTAAAGGTCTTGCAAGTACACAGGAAGCTTCTAATAGTAAAGCTATTTGAAAAATAGTGGAAGAACTCGAGGGGAACACTGGGAAGTGAACGTAGGCTTCGGTTGAAGCCGAACAACTATAGACCTTGAGTTTGATATATCTCTCTCTCTCTCTCTCCCATATTGCATTGCTATATTTATCTCATTTGATTTGCTCACACACACACATTAGTGCGCTCTTATTTTACATATCTTTCCATATCTATTTGAGTTGTAAAAATTAGTTTTATTAATTATTTTAGTTTTTATTTATCAACCCAATTCATCCCCCCTCTTGGGCTGCCTTCTCGGTAATAATATGTTTTCACAAGAATAATAGCAGTGTTTCCAAACAATTCGAGAATGTCCCCAAGACCCATGGGTTCACTTAAAGACGAATTTACCATTCAAGATGTTTTGGTGTGATTCCCGCCCAAATGAGTGCCCATTTTTGTTCCATTGCCTAATTCCTTCTGGTTTTGTCACATGTTTTCTCCTTTCCCTATATGTCATCATGCATTCAAAGGTCTAACAAATTTAACTAATTGAACCAATGAAATTGAGTAGAGGCCAACTTAACGATTGGGCAGGATGGGTGCCTCACAGCTTCCTATCTTGTACCTTAGCCCCTAAATCCAGTCCCTTTGATTGTAGCTCGTGCCTTACCTATAGAGTCAAAGTTTAAGGATTTTGGGTTTCCTAGTGGTACCTCGAAAAAAACTAGGCGGCGACGCCGTTGAATGGATCTTCGACTATCGTGACTATTAGTCTGATTCCTTTTAGTAAAATCCTCATGTCCCTTGGTTTATGACTCTCGACCCTTTATTGGAAAGAAAGTGTGGATCCCTTCATTGGGAACCATTGTCCACACACACACACAAACACCACATCAAACACAAAAGGCAGATATATCCCCCACCTTTCTTCCCCTCCTACTTATCTTAGGTTCCTTCGAACATTAAAAGAAGGCCAATACTGATCTTGAAAAACCTATATCATTATCTCTCCCCCTCCCCCCCCCCCCCCCAAACAAAAAAAAAAAAAAATGTTTTGCATCTGACTCCCTTGCTATCCTATAATGAATGTGATGGTCATCCATTGCTTCTCCATCTTCCTTTCATACACAACAGCAATGTAGAAGCATTTTTCTCCTCCTACTAAGATAATCAACATTTAAAATGCTCCATTTTGCAGCCACCCTTTCCAAGAAAGCCACCTTAGAACGGGTGTTTATCTACAAAGTGCTCCACCAAGGGAACCACCTAACACCTAACATCATTACCAATTAGTTTCTTCTAAAATCCTCTGTTTTGGCATTCTTATTCACGTCAAGTCATAAAAGCAATACATAAAAATCCTTAAAAGAAAAGGTGCCAGATCAAACAAAACTCCAAAAGCCCAATTTGTCCTTTCACCAATCACAAAACAAATAGGGTTATGTAACCTAACCATCCTTTCCAATTCCTTTTCAAAAACTCACCCCATATGAATCATTGACCTCATTATGAGTCCATCTAGCACCAACCTCACAATACTTAGAAACCACCATCCAACTTCAAAATCAGTCTCCTTCGCAAGCAAAACATGATAATCATTTTCCCACAAGGATTGGTCAAACAATTCAAGTCACCTAATCCCCAATCGTCCATTTGAAACCAGTTAGTTGACAAGCTGAATCCTTCACCAATCCATACTTTAATTCTTCCATAGTGCCCCCAACCCCCTAAACCCCAAGAAAAAAAAAAAAATGGTCCCTTTGAAGCATCTCCAACTTCCTCACCACAAACACGCAGAATTGTGAATGAGGAAATGAAATAAGAAGGAAGGATTGCAAAAGTTCTCTACATATCAAAGTAAGATGTTTACCTTTAGAAAGATCCAAATTAACAACTTAAGATGTTCACCAACTAGAATCATCTTAGATATTCCCAAGTTTACTCTCAAGCCCAATATTACTTTCAAGCAAAGAAACACATCTCAAATAAAGCACTTGTTAGACCTCCAGTCTAACAAACTTATCGTATTCAGTGTATAAAATATGCCAACTGAAAAAACTCCCCTCAATCTACAGCCATATGAATCAAAACTTTTGGAAAGGAACAAAAAGAAAAGGTGAGATGGGATCATGGAATCTCAAACATTTGCATCTCAAAACCTGAATGAGAGCCATTCACCAAAATCAACATCCCAACCATTGAAATGAAAAACTAATTCTTTTTTTCCTTGTTTCACCAAGACCATCCTTTCCATCATGTTCAACAAGAAATCCCAATCCACATCATCATTAGCCTTTCCATTATCCAATTTCCAAATAAGTACCGACTCTCACTTGCCAATGTTAAATAAATACCTTCATTTGCTATCAGCAATATATCAAGAATCTGTGACCCACCAACAAATTATACTAGGAATCTAAAACCAATCTATCCATCAATGTCTTATACCTAACTGCCAAGCCAAATTTGGTAACTGCACAAAGTAAGCTAATAGGCTGGAAGTCTCAAATATTGGTAGCTCCTCACTTTTTTATAGTCAACACAATGAAGGTCACAAACATGCTTTTCTCAAACTCTGTTTCTCATGAAAGTAACACATCATTCCCATAACATCCCCCCTTACAAAATTCTAGCATCTTTAAAAAAAAGACTAGGGGCCTCATCCCCATTAACCAATCCCATTTTCTCATATAGTTGTAGATGCCATTCCTATCTAGGAGTTGCACCCATCAAGCCCCTAATTGAAGGATATGCAAACTCGGGAAAAGGATCATATTTTTAACATTTTCAATTTATTTTGTGAGATGGAAAGGCACTATATTAATTTTATAACAATTAAGCAACACAAAATATATATAATGACCTTGTTAAATACAATTATATAACAAATTGAATTGATGGATGTGCTTCGAAAGTGCATATCTAATTGAAAGAATCAGACATATAACCCATACTCTTATCTAGGTGTAAAGTGTCTGATACAAGCACTTGATTTACTTTGAAGAGTCCATGTAACATAGTCTGTGACAACAAACTCCTCAAGCTATCTAAACTATCCCACCCAAGAAAATACAACAAAGAATTAGTTTTCTATTCCACAATACTATTCATTGCCCCCAAACAAACCCTATTTCAGTTCCAGATTCCTAGCATTTTAAACTGTAATAGCCTAAGCCCTTTCCCCTACCTCTTGTCCTTCAACACTCAAACGCCTTATTTATGAAAATCCAGTGCTTCCAACAGAAAATTAAGCCACTTGGCACGTTTGAAACTAATCTTCGTCTACAAAATCTGCACAGATGGCATAACAATAACAATGAAATGCACACACTAGCTGGCAGGTAACAATGCTACAAGATATTTTTGCACCATTGATGAAATCACAATTCTATAAATAAATTAATAACCTGTGAAAACAGAAATACAAGAAAGAAAACAGAAATACAGGCGAGGGACAAATTAATAACCTGTGATCTATGAAGCACGGGTATGGGTACGAGTATTGGTACTGGTACGATATGGGTATATCGATACAGTAAAATTTCAAATAGTAGGGTACGGGTACGGGTACGGCTGGGTACGTTTGTAAAAAAAAATATTTATTTTAATTTGGAGTAAAGCAAAAATTAGTTAAATGATTTAATTTGTTAAGATCCATCCAACAATTCACATTTAATGCCAAAAGTAAAGGTATAAACCAAAATTAAATGTCATTATATTAAATAACTTACAAACCATAGCTTAATTTTAAAATCATACTACGCATAAAAATAAAAATAAAAAAGAAGTCCAATGAAATTAATGTTACCTCTTTATTAGAAGAAAATACTATTTAGTGTGTTTGGTTTGAGTTTTTTGGATTAAGTTTTTTAAAAACTAAGTTTTTTGGTTTTCGTATTTTTTTGTTTTTAGTGAATATTTTTAACATTTTAAACGTTTTTTTTACTTTTTTAGATGAACCAAAAGTAAAAAAATTGTGAAAAAATATTTTAAAAAATTAATAAATACATAAAAATACAAAAAATGTATTGAATTCTCGTATTTTTGATATTTAGTGAATTTTTAAAAGGTTTTTTTCACAATTTTTTTACTTTTTAGGTATATTTATGTTAGGTATGTCTAAAAATTAAAAATACTGCTTAAAATATTAAAAAATTTTAATAAAAACAAAAAAACACAAAAAACAAAAAGGTAAAATTTTATGAAAAGTGTTTTTGGAAAATTCTAACCAAGCAAAGTGATTTTGATTAAGGTATGGTACGGCATGGCTTGGGTATATATACTAGATACGTCTTGGTATGTCAGAAATTAAGAAGAAAAAATTTGAGTACGTGTTTCGTGTACCCGGTACGTATGTAGAAGTACCATACAAGGTACCAGTACCGGATATGGCATGTTTGTCAAAGCATCCATGCTTCATAGCGTATGATGCAAAGTTTGAGAGTGCATTATCAACCCTAACAAAGGATAAGACCCCCTCAAGCAGTTTGTTATCAATTTATTATTTTCAGGTCCCGAGTCATGATTCCAAACTGAATTAAAGGTTAATTCAAAAGAATACCTGCCAAGAATTGATGCAGAGCACATTGACATAATTTTGCATCCATTCTTCCGTGTTTGATTGATTTTGGTAAATACCCTCTTTAGAGCTTTCGAAATTCCATGTTCCAGAAGCTAAAGCATACAGTTCAGGATTCACACGTCCAATGCTGTAAATAAATTAATTATTTTAGAAAGATAAATTTCATAATGTCAAAGAAAAGTGCAGTAATGCAGTGGCATGGAAACAAGATATAGTTTATACAACGTTCTCAAATGTAACTACAAATTTAAATATCAAATAGCAAAGCAAGCTCTTAAGAAAATGAAATCAAAGACATAACTTTTAGATGTTTAAATACAATACCAGTGAAAGCAAAATGAAAAAGTTAAATCATACCGGACAAGGATTTTATTTCCAGAGTGACGGTGTTTGCTCTACCAACAATGCAAAACAGTTCTACAAGAACTGGCAATAGAATGGAAACAAAATTCTCATGGTCAACAACTTCAATTTCTGAAAAGTCTGATTTTTCATTTATTTTTTGGCATGACAAAAACATAACCATCCAGATGTTTAAAACAAATCCAACGAAATTGCAACTCTGGTCATGTAGTGATATCAATAAACTTCATGCCACTGTGCTTCATTTCATTTGATTGCCAGTAACTACTTAAATTATATTATGTCCACTGAATATTAGCACCCAAAAAAAAAAAAAAAACCCTTCATGTGTAGAAAATAATGATATACTAGAAAAGGAAAAGAGGCATATGGATAAAGATGTGGAGTGCACATGAAGAAACTAGCTCCGTATCTTCTAAATTCACCAAGGAAAATCATATGAAGCTATAAAATTTCAACTTTACCATCCTCAACTCTAATAAATGATTGAGCACATGGAGACCCTTTTAGAAATTTCACATCTCTGGATAGAAATGTTTCTACTAATTCAATGGTCCACCATCACTAGTGAAGCATATTATCTAAAAAAAAAATTTAATATAGCTAATATAGGAATGCTTTATATGCCAGAAACAAACACTACTGACTTGTCTACAACATATCAAGAAATTCATCTAACAATTAATTTTAAAAATCATGAAATGAAAATGATGATTCAAAAGTTAAAATTCACAGAATGCTTACACTGCACCTTCCAAAAGGAAAGGGAACACCAAGCAATGCTGACACTGTCACCGCAAAGTCAATCTGCAAAGATTGGCTTGAGTAAGTGCAAATCACAAAAGAAACATATAATTCATTTGTTTTGAGCATAAAAACTCAACAAATCTACTATCCAAAAAGGAATGACAGTCCTAACCTGTTGAATGGAACTAATGCACACTAGTCTTCCATCCTGAAATTCAGAACACGAAAGAAAATACAACAATAGTGATAACTGTTAAAATAAAACCAACTCATACTAGGCTGATAAAAAATCAATTATCATTTAGTCTGCCAATTCATCAAGGTGTTTCTTCTATTGACAATCATCAAGGGATATTAGGAAGCACAAAGTCCACAACTACAATCGAAATATTTGTATAAGAGTTGAGACATGTCTTATTAGGTTCAATGTCATTGAGAAACAAATCAGGCATATAACTGGAAACCTTCTATGGTCATTGGAGGTGAGTCAAATGGCTGCAGAAGCCTTCTAGGAAGTAGGGTAGATATGTAAGGGGTGACAAACCATTATAGGTAGGCTAGGTGCCAACTGAGGCACCCTTAAGAATATAGAGAACAACAATATTGGAGAACTAAAGTCTAAAATTGGATGACCAAAGCCTCCAACTAGTTTTAGAGAGGTGGATAAGATTTGCTTGGAGATGGAGGTGGCCTTCACATAGAGGCACTTGCTGAGGGACCACGCCTCTAATGTATAGAGCTTAGGTGGCCTTTTTTGCGGGTATGATAGTAAGGACATGTGGCCTTCTTTGTGGGTATGATAGTAAGGACATGTGGCCTCCTCTGTGGGTATGACAATCTGTTTGTTAGTGGCATGACCTCAAACAATGGTGTCAGAGGTTGTACATGCTCCGTAAGTACGAAGGGGTATAGAGCACGCCATATATGCTTTTGTCTTGAATTGAAGATGTCTTTATCTTAAGTTATTTCTCTTTCTAAGACCAATTAGGTATGAATATGTCAAAGGAGAACTAGATGAGCACCTGGGAGAACTAGCAACTCTAGAGGTTGTCCCAAAGCACCACCTAGCCAGAGTGCCAAGATTTCCTTTAGAGATTGTCCCAGAGCATCTGATCTAAGGTTAGGGAACTGCACAAGTTAGCCTCGCAACCAGCATGGCTCAACCACTGAGGGGAGCAACTGAGACAAATGGGTGTCAAAGTGGTCCTTGAGTGTGACAACCAAACCGTTCATGCATCATATATATATATATATATATTTCATTATTCTTGCATTCATGTTATGGTCCATGCTTATGTGATACAGGGTTTGTTAGCAATAGGAAGAGAAGATGAAGTTATGTTGGAAAGTCATGCTTAGGACCTATTTGTTTTGTGCCTTGAGTTAGGGGATAACTTAGAACTTGATTTGAAAACCATAGGATGTAACTAACCCTTAAGTGAGAAGCTTAAAGACCTTAGTCTAATGAACTTGTCCATTTCATGTTATTCGTTATTTTGCTATTAGGATTAGTGATAATTAAGTATGATTAGTGAACCCTAATTAGGATTAACTAGGTTAAGTATGATTAAAATAAATTAGGATTTCTTAGTCTTGATCTTAATTAGTTAAGTTAAAGCAAGGAAATTAACCAACTAATGAACTTTCCAACTCTTGCCCTATTTTACCAAATAAAAACTTAGGACCAAAGCCAAACAAATAGAAGAAAATCTGCAGCAAACGTTAGAAGAAGCTAGAAAAGAGGAGAAGAAAGGAGAAGAAAAGAGAAAGAAGAGAGAAAAGAGGGAGGACTCAAAAACTTCAACAAATCTAACCTAAAAAGTGTTCTAAGGTATGATTTCTATCCTAAATCCTATAGCAGACCTTCCTAACATCTAAGATTGAAAAGAAACTAGGATTAATTTGGTTTAAGAATGAAGAAATTAAAATGAAGGACTAGGCATGAAGCTTAGGAATTTCAATCTTTTGAAGTAATTTTTGATGATCTTGATACATTTGGATCCTTACTTCCATATCTTCTTTTGATTTCAAGATATTTACATGTTTGAAATCATGTTTTAAAGACACACAGCAGATTTTTGAAGATGAGTTTAAAGGAAACTATATTCAAGATTTTCATAACTTGAACCATGGATTTGATCTTCGAATCTTAGAATTTTATTGTGTTTTGATGTTTTGATTTGGAAAGCAATCATATTTTCATATTCATCATTGATTTTACATGTTTTAGGTCAAGTTCCATAAGTCCCAACTCAAGAAAAATGGAAGAAAACAGCCTAGGAACTTGCTGAATTTTGAACAGATAATTTGTGCCCAGAACCGCACGTGCGGCGATTTCCCTAGTTCACGGTTTTGATTCTGAAAAAAAGGCAGGTGCAGGCTGCACCTGCCGTAACCATCCCACACGTGCAGATTGGGTCCCGCACATGCAAAAAACCCCTGTTTTGTCTATGCTTTTGTTTTGTAACCTTCTTTCACATAGGACTCTTCTTGTATGCATTTGACATTTAGTTAAGGTTTGAATTAGACCTAGAACAATGCTAGAACACTTGAGAGAATTTAAGGAAAACATTTAACGAAGTTTAGACAACTGATTTGTTATGTGTATACATATAAGTTAGGGATTTCAATGCTTTGCTCTTGTTTGTAGGCTAAGCTTTGAAGAAGTCACACCCTTGTTCACTGAGCCAATTATGAGTAGTAGTATGCTAAAGCTATGTTCGTTAAAGTTATGATTCGAAATGTAAACTTATCATATGTTTAACAAAGTTATGCTATTGTTTCATTACGAATGAACATCTTATATTTTTGTATCATGTACTAAGGTAACACCTAGATCATGTTTGTTATTGGGAATCATGCCAATAACCTCAAGCTAACTGAGCTCCTCTAGCCACATGTGGATTCATGTTTTGAAATGTCTTGAAATGTACACTGCTATGTCTATGTTGCAAGTTAAGCATGTTTGATCTTGACAAAGAGTTAAAATCATAAGAACAAGTTTAAGAGTGAGAGGAGAGGAGAGAAATAAAAAAGCAAGAATTATTATTAGGAAGAGGCACAAAATCTTAGATTAGCTTTTCCCTCTATAACAATATGTATTTATACTAATCAAATAAGTACATAAAGACAAAACTACCCTTCATCTAACTTAACACTCCCCCTTAAATTGGTGCATAGATATCTCTCATTCCCAACTTGCACACAATGGGATGAAAGACCTTACTACCTAATCCTTTAGTAAAAACATCAGCTAACTGATTTTCAGATTGCACAAAAGGCATACAAATCATACCACTACTTATTTTCTCCTTGATAAAACATCTGTCAATCTCAATGTGCTTGGTCCTATCATGCTGGACTGGATTATGAGCAATGCTAATAGCAGCCTTATTATCACAATACAACCACATTAGTCCACTATTTAACAATCCTAAGTCAGCCAATAACACTTGAAGCCACATGAGCTCACAGATGCCATTCGCCATTGCTCGATACTCCGCTTCTGCAATTGATCTGGCCATAACAGCTTGTTTCTTACTTCGCCAAGTCACCAGATTACCACCTACAAAAATACAATAACCTGAAGTAGACCGCCTATCATTAACTGCACCAGCCTAATTGGCATTAGTGAAAACCTCTATTTTCAAATGACCATGCTTAGAGAACATGATTCCTTTTCCAGGTGCTGATTTGAGATACCTAAGGATTCGATTAATTGCATCCAAATGCCTTATTCGAGGATCATGCCTTAATTGACTTACAACACCAACTGCATATGCAATATCTACAAGTCTTTGATATCTTCCTTTATCTACACAATCTCCATCACTGCTGTTAAGTCTGTGATTGGCCTCAATAGGAGAATCTGCGGGTCTACATCCCAACATACCTATTTCCTCAAGTAGATCCAAGATATACTTCCTTTGAAAAGATGCCATTATCCGATCTAGCAATCTCAATCCCAAGAAAATACCACAAAGAACCAAGATCTTTGATTTCAAACTCCTTGAAAAGTCGAGCCTTGATTTGGGACATCTCCTTTACATCGTTACCAGTCACCACTATGTCATCCATATAGACAATAAGAATAGCCATTTTATCTCCACACTTTTTGATGAACATAGTATGATCAGCATGACTTTGCTTGTACCCAAATCTGAGCATCGCCTTAAGAAACTTATCAAACCAGGCTCTAGAAGACTGTTTTGATCCATACAAAGCCTTCTTTAACTGACAAACCTTCCCTTCAGTAACCGAAGAAGAGAAACCTGGAGAAACATCCATGTACACTTCTTCTTCTAGATCACTATGGAGAAAAGCATTCTTTACATCAAGCTGTTGTAATGGCCAACCCAGATTTGCGGCATAGGAAAGAAGGACACGAATAGAATTCATTTTAGCCACTAGAGCAAAGGTCTCCTGATAATCAATGCCATAAGCCTGAGTGAACCCTTTAGCAACCAGTCTCGCCTTATATCTCTTTATAGTCTCATTCGTCTTCTGCTTGATTGTAAACACCCATTTGCAACCTACAGGTCTTTTACCCAATGGTAGAGAAACTAACTCTCAAGTGCCATTCTTATTCAGAGCTCTCATCTCTTCTGCCATAGCTTCTTTCCAGTTAGGATTAGTGAGTGCTTCCTTCCAATTATGAGGGATAGAGACAAAAGACAAAGACAAAACAAAGGCACAATATGATGAAGATAAGGAATCATATGACACAAATTTAGAAATAAGATGTTGAGTATAAGTTCTAACACCTTTTCTAATAGCAATAGGAAGATTTGAATCATCAACAGGAATAGTAGAAGTAACCAAAGACTGAGGATTCCATAGAAGAAATAGGAACTGGAGTCGGAGGTGATGATTGGCATGGCACCACACAGTTCGATTGTTTTCTTTGTCGCCGAGAGTAGGCCTGAAGATCAGGTCTATGTAACCTACTAGGCTCCTTCTGAACACAATATGGTCTATCCAACCTACTAAACTCACCCTGAACACACTTACTCATATCCTTTTCATAATATGGCGCCTTCTCCTCCATACAACAAATAGTAGAAAATAGTGGATCAGAAAAAACAATCTCTTTCGCTGAAGAAACCTCCCCTTGAAGAGATTGGTCCCCGAAGAATGACTCAGACTCACAAAAGGTGACATCCATGGAAACATAAGTTTTGCGAGAGTGAGGATCATAGCATTTGTAGC